GCACAAACAGACTCACACTCCATGAACTCGGCAGCACCTGGACCAGAGAACCAGGGGAGGCGGAAACAGAGGCACCCATGCGGAGCTCACCTGAGAGGGGAGGCCGGTGACTCTAGGGCGCCCCTCCAGGAGCTTCAGCACAGACCTGGAGAAGGGTCTCACCTGCTCCCCAGGACGGGAGGTGAAGGCCCTCAGGGCAGCCCTAACTGGTCACGGCTCCCTCCCACAGGCAGAGCCGGGGCTGGGAAACGTGTGACAGTCCTAGCAGCCCAAGTGCTCCCTCTGCTCAGTGGGAACAGCCACTCAGCCAACAGACCCAGCGACACAGCCAGCCAGCACCCCCATCCCGTGCACCTCACACCCACATGCAGTAGCAAGCCAAGATGCCCACAAAAGCAAGCCCCCAGTGTTTTCCGGCCGTATTTCCTGCGTCCGAGGTTCCGCCCATACACAACACAGTGAAGCGGGAAGTGTGAGATCACAGCGCACTCGGCGTTAATTTTATTACAGGCGTTGGGAGAAGTGAAACTAACGTGGCTCTATTGATGCGTAACAGACACCCTTCTTGGCTAAGCAGGAAAACAAACCAAAACCCTTCAAACCTCGTAATAATTCACCGGGAAACATTTTAAAACATGAACTAGCTGTGTGAACGCAAGAGACCGTGCTTTTCAAGAAGCACCTGCCGCAGGCGAGGAAGACCGCAGCGCGCAGGCTCGGACCTGCTGCGCGCCCGGCATCCCTGCAGCTCCCACCCGCCCTGGAGCGCTGGAAGGCGTCACTGGAATTAAATCTCCAGTGTCCCCCAGCAGGGCCTCCGCGGGAGTCCGTCTATCCCGCCAGCCCCCACTTCTGGGGGTGGATGCTCTGCATCCCGGTGCCCCGCGCTCCCGGGGCGGGACTCCGGCGCTCACACCCACTCGGACCTGCCCGGACCCGGGAGCGGGGCGCGCGGCGGGCCGGGCCGCTCCTCCCGCCCGGCGGCGGCCGCCTCTCTGGGTCTGGGCACCGGCAGCTGGTCGCTGGCCGAGGACAGCGCGTCACTCTCGTCCTCCCCCGGCAGCTCCAGGCGCCCCCGCGCGGCGGGCATCCCTGCGGGGCTGTGCGCGCCCTGTCCTTCCGTCCGCGGCCCCGGGCGAGCACGCGCCCCTCGCCCCTCGGCTACCCCGTCCCGGTGTCCCTCCAGCGCTGCGTCCCCGGCCACCGGCCACGGCCTCCTCGTGGCCCGGCCGGGTCGCCCGCGGGTCTTCCAGCGCGCGCTGCAGACCAGGTCGGCAACACTGAGCAGGAAGGACAGCGCGCAGGCCGCCCAGACGAAGAGCATCAGGATGGACTTCTCTGTGGGCCGAGAGACGTAACAGTCCACCACGCTGGTGCACGGAGGGTGCATGCATGAGAATCTCTTGGGGACCAAGAATCCAAAGAGGAGGTAATGCAGGGCACCGAAAGCTGCCTCCGTCAGGGTCCGCAGGCAGAGGTGGACCAGGTAGCCGGAAGAGAAGTCCGGCACCAGTAGCCAGTGCCTGGCCCCAGGGGTCAGCTCAGGGGCGTGGTGGTCCCCGGGGACACCATCCGGCCCACGGGGTCCACGCGCTGCCAGCTCGGCTCCTTTGTGCAGCACGTAGACACTGAAGACCGCGGAGGGGAGGAGGACAGACACGCTGTGGAGCAGCCAGAACCGCAGGTGGGATACGGGGGAGAAGATGTCGTAGCAGACGTTGGCGCATCCCGGCTGCAGAGTGTTGCATACAAACCTCTCCTGCTCATCCTGGTAAACGGGTGACCCAGCCAGGACCAGCACCACCATCCTCAACAGTACCATGAAGACCAGCCAGATCTTCCCTGGAAAGAGGAAGTGGGGAGCATCGTTACAGTCGGACAGACACATCTCCTCCCAGCAACAGCTGTTAAGCCGTCCTGGGGCTGAGAGTGCAGACCTCAGTGGGCGGGCGTGTGTTTCAGTCACAGCCACAGTGGCGGCCAATTAGCTCACCGGACAGCTCTAACGAGCACTTACAGCGCGCCAAGGTCTGTGCGGAGATATTGCGGGTTCAGGTGCAGACCATTGTGATGCAGTGAGTCACATGGATTTTTTTTGTTTCCCCGAGCATATAAAAGTTATGTTTTCACCATGTCTTAGTCTATGAAGTGTGCAATAGCATTATTTAAAAAGTACATTCCTTGATCAAAAAAATACTTTGTTGCTAAAAAACGCTAACCATCCTCTGAGCCTTCAGCCAGTGGTGGTAGTAACATCAAAGACCCACTAACCACACATCCCCAGAACAAATATAATGATAGTGAAAAAGTTTGAAATACTGTGAGAATTACCGAAATCTGACACAGAGACATGAAGTTAACAAGTGCTGTTGGAAAAATGACGTGGACAGACTTGCTCAACACAGGGCTGCCACAAACCTTCAACTTGTAAAAAACAACAACAAAAAAAACAGTATCCGCAAAGCATGATGAAAGGAGGTGTGCCTGTAATTGTAAAATGCTTTGAAATTGGCAGATTTAAAGAATCACAGATACTAAAATGTTTAATCTTGCTCTGCTGGTTCAGCCTGGTAGTGTCTCCTGGACAGAAAGATCTAGAAAGGGGCTGCTGTAAATAAAGTCCTCCTCTCAGATGAGTGAGCTTTTTAAAGAGTGCTAGCACATTCCTGTAAGTGCACAGCAAATCCAAGCTCTTAACTTTGGTGCGTTTTCTCTGTGATAATGAGGCAGGAAGCCCCATAAAAAAGACCAGCAGGGCCCCCAGGCAGGGCCACTACTCTCCTGCCAGCACCATTTGGTTCCCTGGCCTGGTGGCATTCTCTCGCTTTTTGCCTCTGAAACGGCTTACTTCTAGGAAAGTGGAACTTACCCCTAAAATTCTGTTGATTCCCTGAGCTCACTCCTGATTGGTTCTTTCGCTTCTGATTGGTCCATTTCTACAAAGCTTATTCCTAATTAGTCAACTTCTGTTATACCTTATTTGCATATGATGTTGCAAAGTATAAACTGGCAGCCTATAAATGCCTGTGTAAACCTGCAGAAGGTGTCCAGAGCTTGGAGTGCTAACTCCTCTGGGCCTGCTGCTGTGATGAACCTGAGCTCTCCCGTGGAGCGCTACTTGGTCTCTCGCCTGGATCCAGGCTGCTGTCACAGCTGAGCTGTAACACGCTTTTCTGCAATAATAGTCCACACAACCTCTATTTAATCACAAGGCTTGTATTTAATGTTGCCTTATGGTCCTTGCAGTCGAATTTCTTGAAGGACATTCAAGTTTTCAGACTTTCCAGTAATTCAGAATTCCTTTCCCCAATTCCACCTGTTAAGAACTGAGGTTTGTCATGAATCAGCATGGCTAACCCAGAAGTCAAAGTAACCTCCAAGTCCAATTTTCATGTCATGAGTCAACTACTTTGGATCAAGTTTAAGGCCCAGTCAAAATAATTTGTAAATATTTTGTTCTGTGGTGAGACACAGAATCATCACCCGATCTCAGAAACACTAATGTCTGTTATAAAGGGAGGCAGTTAAGTACAAGGGGAAGAGGATCATCACGCAAGGAAGTAACATGCTCAGACTTTGAAGACCAAGTTGACTTTGTTTAAACTCTACAAAACAAGGAATGAGAAAAATACCAACCACTTCATGGCATGTTTTAATCCTTTTCTCAATCCTTTTTACTAGGATACCCACCCCTCTCTGAAAATTTGACTAGGCTGCAGCAAACTGAGAACACTTTTCTTCTTTCTTTGTTAAAATAAATAAATAAATAAATAAATAAATAAATAAATAAATAAATAAACAAACTAAAATTGGGACTTGGTTTAAAGTGCACAAGAGAACTTACTAATCTTTACAAATTAAGCTTCAATTAAGCTTCAAATTAAGCTTTAAAAGATGAGCAAGAAAGCTCACTCAAGGCATGAATTTCTCTTTGGCTGGAATGTACCTACTCCTGGTAATGTAGCCGGAGAAAAATTACACAAAAATACACCTTCCACCTGCTCAGCCCCCAGGTGTTAGCAAGAAGAGACCCCTTGAGAGAAAGATGTCTGACTCCTAAGACATCCTCAAATGACAGTGGCTTCTCCCTAAGTGATGGGGAATTAGGAGGAACTGAGCCACTGCTCTGGTGCCCCAGCAACAGGCAGCCCTTCCCGGCGGAAGGACCAGAAAAGGGAGCAGAGGAGGCAGAGCGTGTGCTCCATGGGGCTTGCACACTCACCCACGACGGTCACGTTGCAGCTTAAGGTGATGGCGAGGAAGCCCAGCAGGTCCGGCCGGTCCATGCTGCCAGCAGGCCCAGACTCCAGGCGGCCAGAGCCGGTGTTCTCCAGGGAGGTGGGAGATCTTTGCAGGAACGAATGTATCTTAGCTACAGAGGACTTCCAGGTGAGAGCCGGCAACGTGAAAAGGCAGGGGCCAGCCCCGAAGCGGGAGGTCAGCTCTTCCGTCTTCAAGTGGCGACGGCCCCGAGCTGTCTGAGGCTGAGCGTTCTTGACAACTGCAGTGACCAGAGGCCAGCCCGAGCCGCCTCTCGCTGTGGCTATTCTTACCCTCTTGGGACATTCCAGGCCCCTGGCGGAGCACACATGTCCCCACCAGGAGAGCTGACCCTTCAGGCTATCATAGGAGCAGCTACATTTAACCCAACGGGGAAAAGTCCTGCCAACCAGACTTGTCCACTTCCCTATTTAAAAAGAAAACATCCCCAGAACCGCTTCACTTGTGAAAGAAATGCTAAAATGGCCATGTTTTGTCTCTTTTATGACGCATAACCCATCGTAACGGGAGCCCAGAAGAATCTGCGGTCGACCCTGAATTCCTGTACCACTGACGCCAGCGTGTCCCAAGGTCACACAGTCATTCTGCAGGTCTTTCTGTTCTGGGCTAGTGACAAGAGCCCTCCACTCAGAGACAAAAGGACCGGGTGCAAACTGAGGGCAGCCACCTGGTCACCAGGGAGTCACTGAAGCTTCCTGAGAGCCTCGCCCTGCAGCAGGGCTGTGGGAGACAGACAGCGTGTAAAGAGCACCTGGCACACAGTGGGTGTGCAAAACGCGAATCTTTGGCTTTTCCACCCCTAACTGGCCCCCAGACACCTTCAGAGATTACGTCCTCCTGTTGCACCTTGCGGCCCCCTCGAGCTTCAGGCTGCTGCCACCACATCAGCTTAACAAATGTCAGCTAATTTGTCATAAAACACCACGGTGTGGGTCTGCCTACATCAGTCACAGCTGCCTCGTGCTCTTCTCGGGGCCACCACCTTGCCATCTGGGAAGGGCCCGTCCTGCAAGGCTGGGGGCATCTATCCTCAGGGTGGAATTTGTGAACTTCTAAAAGGAGTGATTTCAATTTCCCATGAAAGCCAGTCTTGATATCTTTTCTCCATTTCTGATCTATTCTTGACTCTAGTAATAACCCTAGAAAGATTCCCAGAGGAGGAACAACAAAGCCGCCTTCATCTTCATTCACACGACACATTTCCATCCCCGGAAAACATTCTGACCCCCTTGAAAGGAACGGTAGATTGGCTATATTTTAGTCAAATGCTTTGACATGAACAATGAAATCTGGAGAAACCGTAGTTTTGTTAAAATGTTGAAAGGGTCATTTCCAGGGTTCAAGTATCAAAGAAAGGAAAATATCCTCACTTCCTAACAGACCGTTCATGATATTGGCTGAAGACCTGAAATACTGGGAAAACCATGACTGAAGTTTGCTGGATGATGTAACAGCCTAGCCTGAATGGGGATTCAAGTGGAATTTTGTGACCTTGAGCAAATAGCTAGAGCTTTGCATGCCTCAGTTTTCTCATCAGTGAAGTTAAAAAAAAAAAAAGGCTGTGCTCTGGGACAAGCAAAGTGAGACACAGACATGAAAACAACAGCTTAAAACATAAGGAATTCCACATGTGAGTGGCTAGCGTGTCTGGGGGTGGGGATGCAGCTCCCCTGGGTTCCCGCCCTTGGCCTCCCTCGGGGATGGAGCTGGGGAGGCAGGACCTGAAAATTGCAGGACAGTCACCAAATTCCTCCCCAAGTTCATGGTTTGCCCTTATTATTCTGGAAAATTTAGTGGGAAATTGGAAAATAAAAGCAGAAGTGAGGGCTCTCATCAGCTTCGTGGGGTGGGGGTCACTGGCGGGGGTCACTGGACAGACCCAGAGGGCACATCTCTGGCCTCGTCTGAGAGTTCATGAGACTCCAGTCAGCTCAGTGCGTCCAGCCTCGAGGAGAAAGGTCAAGATGAAAAGGGCACGCTGGACACAAAATAGGTGTAAAGATTTCTTTTTAAAAACTCCAGAAACAGTGAGATGGTCTTGGTCTCTCTCGTGTTCACTGAACCAGCCTTGGCAGGAGGGCGCTGGCTGCGGGGAAAAGGACTTCGATTTTCCCTGCTCTGTTCTTTCTCTGGGTGAGTGGCACCACGATCCATCTCACACCAGCCAAAACCCCAGGAATCAACTTGCTAGAGACACTTCTTACTTATTTCTGCATATTTCTTTATTGCTTCATGCTCTGCCGTGGCCCATTGCCTCTGGGACCAGCTCCAGCAGCGCCCCCGACCCCCGCCATCCTGGCCCCCATCTGGGGGGCTCACCCTCCGCCCCTCTGTGTATCTCTGCCTATTCTCCACCACGAAACACTAGAAGGGGAATGAAGGAATCCCATCTATTTTAAAACTCACAACTGTTCAGCGCTAACCCTCCAAACATTCAAAGCGCTTTGACTGGGACCAAGTGATTAGCCCATTTTGTTGAAGGAAGGGTATTTTCGGAAGCCCCCGGTGGCAGTGTCTGGACCAGCAGGCGACAGTGAATTCATCTGGGAGCCCACGTCCTCCCTGCCCACCAGCGAGGCGAGAACAGGGGTCCCCTCAGCTGTGTCTGCAGGGCAAGTTTTCTCCTAAGGAGGAAGTTAAGGAAGAAGGGAACATGCATCCTATCAGGCAGGGCGGTTGGCACAGCCCGGACCCCGCAGGAGGCAGCCAGGCGGTGATGGAGACAGAGACAGCCCACAGAGCAGAAAGGCTGCGGGTGAGGGGAGGGGCGGAGCGTGAGGAGAGGGACAGGTGACAGCACAGGGGTGGATCAGGTGGCAAATGACCACTGGAACTGAAGGGTGAGGACTGGGCAGGGGCAGGGGCCCCACAGGGACAAAACACCGCCTTCCCTGGAGCTAGCACACCAGGGCTGGTTGCACGTGTCCTCCTGTGATGGCATGAGGTCACCCCACTGGTGATGGAGGGGCTGGAACTGAACCCAGGGCCTGACATCAAAGCTCTTCACCCAGCAGCCCTCCGCGTCTGGGAGATGAATTCTGGGAGGGTGCGGGGCTACTAAAAAGTCTGGTTTTCCAAAGAAGGTGCTGGAGCCCTTCGGGAAAAGAGTGAGGGTTTCATCCACAGTGACATACTGATGTCTCCTCCGTGCCGGACACTGGGCCAGGACAAAGGACACAGGGGAGTAAGACACAGCCTGTCCTTCAAGGAGAGGGTGGCAGACAAGTCCATTCCCACCCACAAAAAACACTGGCCAGCCTTCTAGACCCCGAGAGACCTAAGGCCCGGTCAGGTAGCAGTGATGGAAGATGAGGGCTGTGAGAGAGATGCCAAGGGGGTGTGCAGGACAGAAGGAAGATCTGCAGTGTCTGCATGTGTTTGTGTATGTGAGTGTGTGTGCACTATGTGCATTTGTGTGCATGTGTGTGCGTGTTTGCATGCATGCACGTGAGAGTGTGTGCATGTGCGTGCAAGTGTTGCATGTGTGCAGGTATGTGCATGTGTGTGC